TAGTGCTGCCATGGAGGTGGGCCGCTGTGCTTGCCAGCCATCAGGCCGGCTTGTAGTTGAGCAGCCCTCCCCCATGCACTGACCACCAGGGGGCAAGTCCTGCATTGAAGTCTGCCCTGTGGTGGTCAGTGTGCGTCATAGCGACCAGTCGTTCCACCATTCAGTTGATTTGCATAGTACCCTTTTATTATATAGGATAGTTACTGGCTGTATGATACGTGAGAAAGTTAAACCAAAAACGGAAATTGACACATCATTTAAATGTGCTGCTAACAAGCACAGGTGAGTGAACTCAGGTGTGTGGGGGCCAGTTTGAGTCTTGAGTACTACCGTGTTTCCCCGAAAATAAGACATCCTCCGAAAATAAGACCTAGCGCATGGAAAGATAAGACATCCCCTGAAAATAAGACCTAGCGAAACTTTGGGAGAAAAAATTAATATAAGACACTACCTTATTTTTGGGGAAACAGGGTATCACCATGCAGTTCTTAAGAGATTTCAGCCTATGGGATTAATGAAATGCGCTCATGACTACAGAGTCACCACTTTTGGCAAATATTTTCAAAGTCAAACTTCGTCGTGGGTGGGGACATTTTAATGTAACTGAGTTCTTTTGGAGATCACAAAGATCAATCTCTCTGTTCTCACTTTCTATTTAAAACTGCCCAAGTGAATACTCATCCCTGTGCCCAAATCCATCACTCCTTATATTTCTTTCATCTTGCTCTTGTTTGAAAGGAGCTTTATCCAGAACATAATTTCTTCATTCAATATAAAGTTTCCTTCAGACATTAAGACAGCTTGTATACAATTATATAATTTTAAAAAATCTTTCATCTGGATTTTCCCAAGCCCATGACTATTTTAGCCAGTAAAAGAAAATTATATTTTGGACTCTAATGGATTGATATACTTTGAACATCCCTGTTGGGGCTGGGAACTGTGAGTTGGAAAATACTTTTAAGGGTACAGCCCTAAAACTAGATCTGTTAATAACTGTCAAGAAAGCTCCTGGTTCTTGTGCTGGCCTTCATTCTATTGTCTGGATTCGTGTGTGAAATTAGAGTGGGGATAAAAAGAGATTTTTCACCAAATGGCTCAGTCTTATTTTTTTTTTAAAGTAACATTTTAAAAAAATATATCTTTTATTTATTTTTTAATATATTTTATTGATATTTTACAGAGAGGAGGAAAGGAGAGAGATAAGAACTAGAAACGTCGATGAGAGAGAAACATTGACCAGCTGCCAATGTACATGCCCTCAACCAATGTACATGCCCTTGACCAGAATCGAACCTGGGACCTTTCAGTCTGCAGACTGATGCTCTACCACTGAGCCAAACCGGTTTCGGCTCAGTCTTATTTTTATATAGCACATTGTTATAATATTTTTTTTTTTATTGGAAAAGTAGATGAGATTATTGTGGAAAATTTGGGTACCATAGGGAGATGCAAATAAAAATTATTCTACTCTAATTCTAATATTTCTAGTAAGCAGCTATTCGCATGTTGACTTATTTTTTTACTTCTAGTATTTTTTTTCTAGATGTAGATACTTTTAAACAAAATTGGTACCATATTGAACATTTTGCCTTATAGTCTGCATTTCCACGAACACTACTTAAAAACATTTTCCCACTTAAATACCTTACAGATTTTAAAAAATCTATTTATCCATTGTTGGATACTTAAAGTTTTCAAATTGTTTGAAATGATATTATAATAGAAAACGTCTTGGTATATATCTTTATGTATAATTTACACTTTTTTAGAAGATAAATTCAGAGTCTTTTCAATATACTAGTTTAAAGTCTGCCTTCCCAGCAATGGTTAAGCCCTCTTAGATGCAAGAATCTATCTTTATAACACCATCATCTTGATCTGTAAAGAATGGTGCAGTAACACCTTATTTATCTAACACCTTTAGGGAACTTCTCTAAATAAAATTTTCACATAACAGAAACTGACCCTTGCCCTAGCCGGATGGAGTGACGGCCTGTGGACCTGGTTCCATTCCTGTCAAGGGTGTGTGCCTTGGTTGCAGGCACATCCCCAGGGGGAGGTGTGCAGGAGGCGGCTGATTGATGTTTCTCATTGAGGTTTCTAATTCTCTATCCTTCTTCCTTCCTCTCTGTAAAAAAGCAATAGATCATATTTTAAAAAAAGAAAAGAAAAGAAAGAAAGAAACCGACTCTTAAGAGTCTGTACTTGGTAATTGTGAACATTGTGAATGAGAATCTTTCTAAAATTGTATTATAGACTGCGTGGCCAGATTATTATGATCTCAGAACGCTTAATAATCTGGCCACTCAGTGTACTTGTATATCAAATGGGTACCAAAAGTATTCTAGACTTTTGCTGAAGATCAACCACCTATTTGCCCTGAGCTTTCTATCAGCCAGTGCAAAGGGGAAAACTGATCAGGTGCACGATTTATAGTATCTTTGATATCAAATAAATGAGGTACTCAAGAGAAGTACACTGAATGGCCAGATTATTGTGCATTCAGAGATCATAATAATCTGGTCACTCAGTGTATATGCTGCTATTACCTTTAACATAATGAAAATATTTGAAAAATCACAATGCAGCCTCTTCTGGTTTAAATCATAAGCAACCTTATACACCAGGGGTGGGAACTTTTTCCTGCCAAGGGCCATTCGGATATTTATAACACCATTCTCGGGCCATAAAAAATTATCAACTTAAAAATCAGTCTGCTAGACCGACTGGCATGGCTCAGGGGTTGAACAACGACCTATGAACCAGGAGATCAATATTCAATTCTGCCGGGACCGGTTTAGCTCAATGGATAGAGCATCGGCTTGGGGACTGAAGGGTCCCCGGTTCGATTCTGGTCAAGGGCATGTACCTTGGTTGCGGGCATATCCCCAGTAGGGGGTGTGCAAGAGGCAACTGATCGATGACTCTCTCTTATCCATGTTTCTAACTCTCTATCTCTCTCCTTTCTTCTCTGTATAAAAATCAATAAAATATATTAAAAAAAAAAAAAAAAAGATTCAATTCTTCCCGGTCAGGGCATATGCCCAGGTTGCAGGCTTGATCCCCAATGTGGGGCATGCAGGAGATGGCTGATCAATGATTCTCTCTCATCACTGATGTTTCTATCTCGCTTCCTCTCCCTTCCTCTCTGAAATCAATTAAAAATATTTTTTTAAAAATCAGCCTACTCTATTTGGTCAAACATGTAATTAACTCACCCCTAATGCCTTGGCAGGCCAGACCAAAGGATTGTGAGGGCTTATACATTCTCCACCCCTGTAAGAAACACTAGTTATGCAGTCATTTCTGCTAAAATGTGATGCACACATTTTTAAAAACCACCATGCTGTGCAAAATCATGCAGTAGAACCCAACCCACAACACTTATAGGATAAATGGGGTCAGGGACATAGTAATCAAAAACCTTAATCAGTGTTTACAGACCAATCTGTTCACTAGCGATACATTAAAAAAAGAAAAAAGGGATAGGAACTGATAAAAAATTGTATCACAATTTTACACGTTTTAGTTGGTTAAGGAATAAATAAATATGGCACTGTACCTTGACAAAGTTCTGACCTTTTCTTATCTGAGGGTTTGGAGGGGGTACAGCCTGTGAGGTATTCTGCAGTGCTGGAAGGAAAGTGACCCAAAATCTGAAGGACAGTTGGGACACCCGATGCGGATGGGTGTGGCTCACAGCGCGCTGGTAGAAACGGAGCCCACTGGTGCACGACTGAGGCATGGACCTTTGCATTCTCTCTCTCCTTACACAGCTGGGTTCCACCTAGGTGCAGCCTTCTGCTGCTACCCAGCGTTGCTTGCAATGAAATGATGCATAAACAAATGTGAAATTCGAGTTATGCTCAGATTGTTTCCTACTGTTATCAGTCTTGGAACGAACACAAGATGTAGCAGAATTGCTTACACTGTGTGGTAATACGGTGATGTGTGGGAGATATTCTGCTGGTGTTAGCCTATGTAGAGTTAATATGTGTAAAACAGAAGAATCTGGCATGGGAGTCAACACTGTGTGTTGGCAGTAACAATGACAATAATAATAATAATAGTAATAATAATAATAATAATAAAAGATGCCTATTGATGTTTCTGGGATTCTGCCTGCTTTTCAGTTGGGACTGCTACTGTAGCAGTTCTTTCTGCCTTCTAATTGACCTATTTCGCAACCTCTTGTGGCTCACAGACGAGTTCATCGCTTCTTCGAATTACATCTAACATAAGGCCCAGAATGGGAGAGCACAGACTTGAGGGTGTGGTTTACCTGTGGCATCTGTTTCACCTAGTCAAACTTTGTAATCTTGTGAATGAGCTGCTATGGGTGCATTTATTCGCAGCATTGTTGGGGAAGTAACTTAGGTTTTAAGTCAGGTTATTATCATGCAGAATTTTTGGATTTTCTGGTGTGTGTGTGGTTTTTTGTTTTTGTTTTTTTTAGAAAAAAGTTAACAGGACTACTCTTGTTCCCACCTGCTGCAGGGAAGGGGGATGCCTAAGGGAATACATCTGAAGGGCATTAAGTCGCTGATGGCTTTCTTTGTTCTTGGTCCAGTCTGTTCAAACTGCCTCCGTGTTTGTGAGATGGGCTCATCTTTGGAAGGTGGTGCAGGCACAAGTGTGGTTTCCTTAGACCTTGCCTCCCCAGTCTCAGTATAATTAGAAGTCCAGATCCTCCCTCAGTTGCTCTTTATGACTCCCTGAAAGGGACATTCTTACCACGAATGGTTGCCAAGAAGCCTCGCTGACTCCTGCCGTAGTAACTTTAATAAGACAACAGATCAAAATGCTGTCCAGATTGAGCAAGCCTCGTTAGTGTCGTTCTGAAAGAAAGGTAGCTCACAAAACTCATCATTTAGCTATTCGGTGAAATCGGTACTTGAATTATGCAGAGAGGATGTGAAGAGCAATGGGATGTTTTGATTTTTAATTTCTAACCTGACTTTGAATTTTAACCATTTTTGTCTCTACCCAATTTTTAGACACACCTGGGCTGCCTGACCTCACTGAGCGATTGCTGTTAATTCACAAGACGTTGTGGGAGAAGGGAACTTGCCTTTTGAGCTTTGTACCAAAGATCGGGGAAAAGTAAGTCATTTTCTAACTTGCTTTAAAAAAAAAAAAAATTCTGATCTACTTCTCTGAGAGAGTTAACCGTGTGTCTGTGGCCTTTCTGCGTTCCGTCTGTCCTGGCTGTGTACATTTTATGTACTCTTATGGATTTGAAACATGGGAAGGGACTCAGGAGACCTTTTCAAAGAAAACCTTCTAAAGAGATTTGGATGACTCTGCATTGTGCCATTTCTTTTGGGTTTCAAAAACTAAGTCCTCAAGGTTGTAATAAGGCCTTTTATTCGATGTGCAGTAGATGAATTAAACTTTAAAAAAAAATAAGGGGATACAATGTGATGTGACAGAAAAATGAGTCCAGTTTTTTGAGCTTCAGGTATTTTAGACTTTTATATGGGCTCTTTGCTTCTGAATTTTTGCAATAAGAATGAAATCCACATGATTCTTTTCTTGTTTGGAAAGGAAAACAAAATGTAGAGTCACGTGTTCAATAAGTCCTTCATGCAGCCTTTTATTGGAAGATTTGGTACACCTGCCGGTTGGTTTTATTATTTTATACCTTTTTGAGGTACTTTGAGATATGCTAATTGAGACGCCTGTTTGAATGGTTTTGCTATCTTTTAGAAAAAAATCGCTTGAGACTATAAAGTTTAATTTTATTCTCTGATATTTTTAAAAAGGTAAAATGGGCCTTAAAAATAATGCAGTCACTGTACTTTGCTGTAGATACTACTTGGAAGCATTCATGGCCCATAAGAATGCAAGCAATACAACAACAACAACAACACACACACACATACATACACACACACACAAACATTCTTTCTGGCATGTTCCAGGAACAATATCATTGACAATAGGAACTGTTCATGCATTTAATTACTAAACTAGGTATGCCTTGTATCTTACAGCTCCTCTACATATTTGATGAACTAGTACAAATGAACTAGTTGAAGCATCTAATGTAAAGCAAGGCAGAAAAGCACTTTGCTCTACAAGTTCTATAGAAACATTAGATAATATCAGATTTTATTGTTATACTAGTGGCCTGGTGCATGGATTCATGCACATTGAAAGGAAATTAATTAGAAGAAATATTTTAATATTGCTACTCACCCTTTTTCTATAATAGAAGTGTCAACCAAATTCATGATCCACCGTGACAGATTAAAACATACATGCGATTGGCACCAGCAAGAGCTTTATATGTATCGCATGTGTGAGTCAACCTAGCCTTTTATAAATATATAATACACTTGCTTAATTATACCTGCTTTCTGACTTAACTTCTTCTAGCCCAGTGAAGCACCCCAACTTCTCTTTCAGGTAATTGTCAGAAACACAGCAGTAAATATCAACACGAAGCAGATTATTATTATAAATCACACAGGGAGAACAAAGGGTAAACTGTTTAACTGCAGCAGTGTTTGACTATATTCTGCACAATGAGACAACCTGAAGGCATTTTCAAGGTCCACCATTTCTTACTTCTTTTCAGTCAGGTCAAGTTTCTTAACTTTCTAAATCTCCATTTTCTGGCTAATGAAAAGAAAATGGGATTCTACCGAGTCTCCTATCTACCTACTCCAGGACTTCTGTGAGGATCAAATGAGATGAGGCACATGAAAAGGCTTCAAAGATATTTGTTTAAAGTGTAAAATGTTTGCACCTGGCTATAAAGCAAGCCTTGTTCTTGAGCTGAAGAAACTGCAAGGAGGCTAGTCACTAGGGAGAGGAAGCTGGGTGTTGCTGTGTGACTTCATCACCCGGAGCCCACAGCGATAATCTTTTTCGGGCTGGGCTGGGCTGGGGGCCACATTTTGTGCAATGTGGTCTTGACAGCGTTGGCTGTGATTTGGTGGAATGTCACTCCTGAGTGCTGGTGTTTGTGTCTCACTGGGGGGAAGCTGAGTGTTGGTTTGTTGGGTCCATGGTGCTCTTTATTTTTAAATGACTAATGTATGTCATGGCAGCTCCTGCACTGAGCCCCCTAGTGGTCAGTGTGTGTCATAGCTACCAGTTGAACAGACACTTAGCCTTTTATATTTATAGATTATATTTACTTATAATTAAATTGTGTAATTTTTGGTAGTAATTATAATATAAGGTAAGGGTCTTTAACTATGAACCCTTTTGAAGTTTAATAAGATATTTGTACTGAAAAAATATTATACATGCACACACAGAATACTCACACACCAGGAATATATCAATAATTCTGAGTGCTCTCGAGTCTCTGCTCATATTGAAAGGAAGGACTTTGAAAATTTCCTCCCAAAAATAGTTGCTTTGTTCCAGTGAAATATTGTAATAGTTAAATACTGTTGGCAATGAAATTTTAAAAAATGAGCAGTTTTTATTTAGTTAAATTTTGTAGTCTTGTATTTATGTATTGACCTTAAAATAAAGGAGATCCTATTGGTGCAGTTGTTATTCCAATGTGGAAGGATATTTGAAAGAGGATTATGTTGGAAGTCACCAATCTGTTCACAGAAACGGAATGAAAAGGACAAAAGATTAATTTTCTGGGTCTCAGGATTCAGGTATATGCAGTAGTGTTTGGATTGGAGATAGAACTTAGTCTCAGAAAGTAAGCTGCTTAAACAGCCTTTCAAATCATTTACCATCTCTTGAAAATTTAATATAGTCTCTGGTGAAATATTTTTCTTCCATTATACCAAAATATTCCCTTTGGGACATTGTTGTAAAAGTCATTTTTCCATTTTTGTGGAGGCAAGGTAGGACTTTTGATCACAATAATAAGCTAAAGATAGACACTGGGTTGCCAGAGGGACCATTACAAACAGATCTCTGCTCACTAAACCTGATGTCGTAGGTGAATATTTATATGCACCAAAGGATGTTCATAATTCACCTTTAAGCTAACAAAAAAAAAAAAAAAGAAGGAAGTTATAGTACACTAAAGGCCCAGTGCAAGAAATTCATGCACTGGTACGGCCCTAGGCCTGGCCTGCGATCAAGTCCATCTTCCCTGGCTGCCCCACCCCCGCCACCACCCACCCCAGTTTCCCGTTCACCACCACGTGATTGGTGCCAGACGGCCAGGGGAAGGAACTGAGAGGTTGGCTGTTCCCCCCAGCTCTGGCTGTGCCATCCACCTCCGCTTCTCAGTTCACCATCAGGCAATCGGAGCCTGCCAGCCGGGGAAAGGGACCAAAAGGTGGTCGGTGTGTCTCATGGTGACTGGTCCAGCCGTCGTTCTGGCCCTTCCACCATGAGGGTCAATTTGCATATTACCCTTTTGTTATGTAGGATACGTATGCTCCACGTGAATCTCGTCCTGAAGAAATTGTTATGTGGAAGTGATCATGAAGGGAGGAGGAGGGACGTCCTTTCTGAAATTCACAAGCCACGAGCAAATGGTGCTGACAGTACTGGGAACACTCTCAGGGGTGCTAACATGTGTCGGTGACTGGCTTCTTTTCAAGGAGGCAAGTGCATGGATTTAGGGAAAATTCAGAACCATAGACCACCTTTGTACTTCTTTTTAACTCCCTTTTGTCCTCTACTTTTTTTTTTCTTAATCACAAATATGTTTTCAAGTCTCCCCTGTTTCACGTATTTCATTTAATTATTATTATTTTTTAAAATATATATTTATTGATTTTTTTACAGAGAGGAAGAAAGAGGGATAGGTAGTTAGAAACATCAATGAGAGAGAATCATTGATCAGCTGCCTTCTGCACACCCCTCACTGGGGATGTGCCTGCAACCAAGGTACATGCCCTTGACCGGAATCGAACCTGTTACCCTTCAGTCCGCAGGCCAGTGCTCTATCCACTGAGCCAAACCGGTTTTGGGAATTTCATTTAATTATTTGAGGTCGATTTCTGGAAACTTGAGTCTGTAATGTTGACAAGTGTAGGTACACTTTTGAAAAATTAGCCATGAATGATTAACAAGTAAAAAACAGCTTCTATTTTATTACCTTATTTAATACATGCATGAGTTTATGTTAATACTAGGAGTAGTATATGCCATAAATTATTTGGAATCCTGTTTCTTCCCATTTAACAATAAATAATGAACTCCTTCCTATGCTAATAAACAATTTAAAAAAAATCCTTTCCTGAGGATGTGTTTTTACTGATGTTGATGTGAGAGAGAGATATCGATTGGTTGCCTCCCATATGAGTCCCGACTGGAGATTGAACCCACCATGTAGGTATGAGCCCTGACCAGGAATTGAACCCACAACCTTTTGGTGCACAGGGCAAAGCTCCAACCGACTAAGCCACCCAACCAGGGCCCTGTCCTAATATCTATCTACAATCTCATTGTTAGTGAAAGCGAAACTGTTGGATCTTAGCTTTATGTTGATTTGAGGCTACCCTGGCTTTCAGTAAGAGAGGAGTAGAAATAGGTGTCGTATTTGGTGTAGCTTTTTCATCTGCAAACAGAGAATAGATTGGGACTCCTCTTCTGTATCTCGACAGTGTTTACTGTAACCAGACATCTTTTGAAGAGGAGGCTCGTGGGGCTAAACATGTGTTCAAATTGTAGGTGTCGCTGTCTGACAGGTACCGTGTGTACAGCATCGTGTCTTCTCTGGTCCCTTTGTTCTATCACAAGAGTGCAGGTGACTCGTTCCTCCCGCATAGCTGTCTCCATCAGTATTTCTGTTCTTAAGGAAGGATTCTACCTACATGCTTCTTCCTCTCAGGAAACTCTATCTCAGGTAAGGTAATGGGTACAGAAGAAACATTTCCTAGACTTTGGGATATAATGTATTGGAATAAATTGGAATTCAAATTAATTGGAGATGCAAAATGTTTTAGACGTCTTTGCATGCTTCCTCAATTTTAAGTTTATTTATTAAGCCAACATCTGTGGAGCAACTACTATGTGCCAGGCACTGTGTTTGGAGCTCATTATTCAAAGATTAATTAGATATGCTTTTGCTTTCAAGGAACTCAATTTGAGTTTCAAATTCAGAACTCACATAATATTTATTCAGCTTGTACTGTATGCTATGCAGTGAGCTGGATGGATGGATG